TCGTAGTCCACGGATTTGAGGCCGGCAGCCATTCTCGTGGCGGCTCGCTGGACACGCTAATGAGGTTGACGTCTTTCGTGCGTCCTGAGTAGACAACTTGGTTGGCGTATTCCAAGAGCGGTCTGACGTAGGCCCCGTAGAGTATACGGAAATCCATGCGAGTAATACGGCAGAAGGTGCGTCGGATCATCCGTAAAATGGCGAATGCCTTTTGGGCCGATTTCTCACGGTGTAGTAAGAAGGACAAGTTTGAGGAGACCCAATTGCCTAAAACCTTTTTGGCATCTATCCTCATGATGTTTTCTGGTCTTTTTTCACCATGCATAACAAAGGCGTTCACTGAGTTTCCTCCAACTTATATATGGATGCACTTTTCGTCATTCAGAGGAAAGTGCCAGTCCAACGACCACTGCTTTGCAGCGTCTACATGCATTTGGAGGACACTGGCGTTGGAACTCCAGAATTTCAACTCGTCACCAAAAAGTAGATATGGAGTTGCGGGAGCATCTGGAAGGTCGTTGACGTGGATCAGAAACAGCACTGATCCCAGGACGGAGCCTTGAGGAACTCTATTGGAGACCAGCGCTGGAAAGGAGTAGGTCGAGCCCATTCTCACTCGGAATGATCTGTCTGATAGGAACGGCTTGATCCAGCAAAGGACTTTCCCTTGAATCCCGTAAAACTCGAGTTTGTGAAGCAGCGGGACGTGTGGGACCCTATCAAATGCATTTGAGAAGTCGAAAAATATGGCATCCGATATGAATTCTTTGTCCTTGGCTTGGGCGAAGCTGTCCATAAACACGAACATGTTTGTCACGCAAGAGCGGTATGGGAGAAAGCCGTGTTGAGCTGGAGATATCAGGTTGCTGGAAGTAAGGTAATATAGGAAAGCTCACTTCAGAATGTGTTCCATCACCTTGCACGGCACGCTGGTGAGGCTTATAGGCCTGTAGCTGCCAGGCGATAGTCGGTCACCAGTTTTGTGGATTGGCGTGACAGCCGCTTCCTTCCAAGCAGTGGAAAGCCTACCTTCGTCAAGTGACCGACGAAACACAAGGTTTAAATGATTTGCCAATGTGGAGACGTTTCCTTCAGGATCCCTCGGATGAAACTCGCCCTGCCCCAATGCGCAGAATGTGTTGATCTTGTGCAAGAGTTGACGAATGTCCACACCGTGAAGACTAAGTGGGTTAAAGGCTGTTCGTAGTTCCGCCTTGACAAGAGTGGATGTGACGAGAACGCTGGGTCTGAATGCAAACCTGCATAGTGCTCTTTGTAAACCTCAGATACCATTGTTGGGTCACTCGTGGGCTCTCTGTTTCTGTCCCTCAAGGAGAATCTGGATGGCTTGTTACTTCGGTGATGTCTCATGTATTTGAACAGTAGGTATTGGTTTTGTGGTATGCATAGGCGGTGAGGTAGTGGCCCCTCTTTATCCAACCCTGGCGCTCACTGTGCAAAGATACAGCCGTGCAGTTAGTCTATGGTTTTCTCTCCATGTGTATTACATCCTTTTTGCGTTCAACAGTTAGCCATTCGCTCATTTTCAATTCAGAATTGGGTTGATATATCAAAGAATGACCGTTTGGCCAATGAATTCATCTCAACTATTGCAGTAGTGGCCACCGAGTGCAATTTTTGATTTGTCAAGGATTGATACACAGGATTGATTATTTCGCCCGATTTTCCCCTTTCAGCTTCGTTCGCTTCGCCCGGTGATTGTCGTTTGCCCGAAAGGTACGGATTTATCAGTGCCGAGGCAGTAGAGTTGCCAGCGCAAGGATTTGTAGTGGACATTCCCATGTCCCCTCAACCGGCTTCACCTAATTTGTCTAGTACATGCGTGTTTACCAGATCCCGCGACTGACCTGCTATACAAGTCAGTTCCTGTCTAGTACGCATCGGAACGATTCATGTTTTATACACACGTCAAACTTTCCTGTATAAGGACAGAACACAATCAGACACACACACACCCACGCATCACTCGTGCGTCGAAACACAGACCGGCTCTACCCAACAAAAACCGCGGACAACTAGGAACATGTAGCAGTGAATCTGCCAAAAGAAACACGAATACCTGCGCCCAAACCAACTCGGTGGAACTATTGCAACTTCCATTCAGAATGATAAGCCTCATTTGGACATTCCCATTTTGGTACTGTATTCGACTCGATTAAGGTGTTGTAAGCTCATGCTCTTAAAACAAATTTCATTAATGTCGCTTTCTAGCCCTCTGATTTATCAAGTGGCTTTTGTTGTTAACAATAGAG